CAATGTGCATAACATCTAGGGCATGCCTCACAGGGAGGTATTTCCAATACTCGAGATCAAAGAATTTAGATTTCTTCTTCCAACAAACTCTGTCATCATCATTCTCACCAACACTTCCCCCACTTTTCGAGCCCCATATGTAATTAATATCTTCAACCATATGCAGCACTTCTTCTCCTGTTAATGGCTCGGGAGGCATGCCATATTCAAGTTTCCCATTAAAAGCTGCACATTGCCTCCTATATGGATGATTGATTGGTAACCACTTTCTATGCCCAATGTAACAATTTTTGTGGCCATTTTTCAACCTGTGACTAGGTGTATCATCGCCGCATATTGGACAAGCTTTATATCCTTTAACAACACAACCAGATAAGTTTTCATAAGCGGGAAAATCATTAATTATCCACAGTAATGCAGCTCTGAGTGTAAAGTATTCTCCTATGTGGGCATTATACACTCCTCTAATCCCATCTCACAGAGATTTCAAATCATCAATCAAAGGCTCTAAGTAGACGTCTATATCATTTCCGGGCTATTTAGGACCGGAAATCAGTAAGGTCAACATCATGAACTTCTGCTTCATGCATAGCTATGGTGGGAGATTATATGTAACTAACATAACTGGCCAACAACTGTATCTGCTACTTAATGATTTCCAAGACGGTGGACAAAACTTCAAGCATTCACACACTGAAGAAAGAAAAGTCTAGAGTGGAGCCCACACGTTTAGAAATAATGAAGACGACTTGTTCTATTTGCTAGAATATCACGTCAACACTATTTTGCATTTACTTGTTGACTGTTCACTGACTTGTCTGTCTGGGACGGAAATCACAAGACTGGGTGGCTAACTTCTTTAAAAACAAAATCTAGGTGTTCTCAGCCTAAATCCTCTCAGCTCATCCAGCCACTGCACAGGCTTTCAGAACGTTAGCCTTTCCCTCCTATATTCTCCACCTCTGCCAACCTTCCCTGTCCCGTGTGCCGTTCACTCTCCTAGTTCTTCTTGTTTATACCCAAAATGAACAGCCAATGAGAATAAGACACGTGGAAGAAATCGGCATTGGTCAGGGGCGCCCTCGGCACCCTACCTACCGATCGCTCTATTAGGGCCTCTCATGGGACAAATGGCATGCTCCCCAGCGACGTCCACAGTCCCACATCGAAATTATCAACAAAGTGCACACCTCCCAAGGCCTATAAAAGAGGCCAACTACCCCGAAATAGAGGTAATCAGAACTTACGGCATACAAGCCTATTGATATGTCAGTTAAACTTTCTATTCCCGAACTTACTTAAGCATCGGAGAGCCTTCGGCCGGTACCACACCGGTGCCCTAGGTCTTACCGAGCGTACTCTCTTTTTGCAGATCACGCTCCCTACCGAGGCCTTTAAGATACCGAATGTATAAAATTACTACGTTGACCCTCAAAATCAAAGAACCACTTTTTGGCGTCAACACACTACTACAAAAAACGAAATAGACGACGGGGATCCACCGTCGTTGTAATGCTTTGAAATCCGTCGTTAAATCGACCGCCGTCTATTTGGGTGTCAAACTACGACGGCTTTTCACTGCCGTTGTTTTTCTGTAAAGACGACGGTTTTTAAAGAAAATCGTCGTTGTTTAAAGGTAAAGATCGTTAATTATATGATGAAAGACGACGGTTTTAAAAACCGTCGTGTATTGTATGCAAAGATGACGGTTTTTTATGAAACTGTCATCTTTACATACAATAGACGACCATTTTTTTAAAAAAACAGTCATCTTTACTTCACAATAGACGACCCTTTTTAAAAAAAACCGTCATCTTTACATATAATAGACGACCTTTTTTATAAAAAAAAACGTCATCTTTACCAATAATAGATGACATTTTTT